CAAGGCTCAGGGGTCCAGGATTATCTTCTGTGTCTGTGTTAATTGGTTTCCCTTTTCTTTGTTGAAGAGGGTCTGTGCAGTCTTTCTGCCTATTCTGCCATCTTGCCGGCCTTCTCCCCAACACCATTCTTCATAAAAACACTGAACAAAATAAGAAGGGTAATTCGTCAGCATAATTAAGGGCATATGTACAAAATCAATGGCCAACATTGTTCTCAGTGAGGTGACTAGAAGTATTGCCTTTGAGAATGGGTACCGGATAAGGATGCCCTTATCACCATTCCTATTCAATATTGTATTGGAAGTCTTTGCCAGAGCAATAGGGCATAAAAGGGAAAGAAAAGACATCCAAATTGACAAAGAAGTAAAACTATCTCTATTTGCAAATGATAGGATTTTATACATGGAAAATCCCAAAGACTCAGTAAGAAGATTACTGGAACTAATTGAAAATTTCAACAAAGTGGTAGGGTACAAGATCAACATATAAAATTTAGTCCGATTCCTTTACACTAATGAAGAGAACTCTGAAAAGAAAATCATGAAAGCAATATTATTTACAGTAACCAACCAGAAGATGAAATACTTAGGAATAAATCTAACCAGAGACATGAAAGACCTATACAAAGAAAACTGCAAAACACTATTACAAGACACCAAAAGTTGTTGTGAGGTGCCATTGAGTCAGCTCTGACTCATGACGTTATGTACAACATATGTTGTATATATGTTTATGGCTTGGGTTAGGTGCACCTTAGTCTGCAAAGAGACATATTTGCTCTTCTGCACTTGAAAGAGGTCTTTTGCAGCAGATTTGTCCAATGCAGCAGATTTACCCACTAGTAATAGCAAAATTAGGAGCTCTGGTGGTATAGTGCCTAAGGCATTTGACTGCCAACCAGAAGGCTGGCGGTGCAAACCCACCAGCCACTCCCTGGAAGGAAGATTGGGGAATCTACTTCCATGGAGATACTGCTTCAGGAACCCAAGGAGGGGTTACTGTGATTTGAAATCTACTGGATGGTAGTGAGTTTGGTTTTTTGGTTTTTGGAATAGCAAAGTTAAAAAACAAAACAAAACCAGAAAACAACAAACGCTGCTGTGGTATGGAGAGACTAGAACACTCATACAGTGCTAGTGGGATTGTAAAATGGTGGAATCACTGTGGAAAATGTTCTGGCACTTCCTTAAACATCTGAAATAGAAAATCTGTATGATCTAGCAATCCCTACTACATATATAACCTAACAAAATAAGAGCTGTACCATAAACAAATACATATGCACACTGATGATCATCACAGCATTATTCACAATAGCAAAAGGATGGCAACCACCTAAATACCCATCAGAGCATGAGTGGATAAACTTTGGTAGAGCCACACAATGGAATACTGCACAACCTTGTAGAACAATGATGAATCTCTAAAACATCTCATATCATAGATGAACTTAGAGACTGTTATGGTAAGTGAAATTAGTCAATCACAGAAGGACAAATACTGTATGTACTATTATAAAAAAGTCAAGAAAAAGGTTTCACAAAAAAAGACATGTTCTTTGATGGTTATTACCAGGGGTGGGTGGAGAAGGGATGGTAAACCACTAACTCAAAACTCAAAAACTCACTGCCATCAAGTCAGATCTGACTCAGAGTGACCCCTCTTTGGGTTTCTGAGGCAGTATCACTACGGAAGTACATTGCCCAACCTTCTTTCCCAGGAGTGACTGGTGGGTTTGAACCGCCAGCCTTCTGATTAGCAGTCAAATGCCTTAGGCACTACCACTAACTAGAGGGTAAACAAATAAATAAAAATTAAAATGGTAAAAAAATAACAATAATATCAATTCAGCTAGTTCACTAAAAGATAATTTAAATTTGTAACCAAAGATTTAGTTTAACCCTGAAAAGTTGATAGAAAACGTTTTAATACTCATGTGTTTCAAATTCTCTTAAAGCTTAAGAGCTTTTTTTTTTAGCTTAGACTATCTTCTTCCATCAAATGTGGGACAGCCAGAGCTCAGTATGACAACAACATCTGAAATTCATGCAACACTTTGCAATTTACAAAATACTTTTATAGATAAGGTAGGTAGGGCGGTAATTAGTCATCCCATTATCAAGAGAGAGATGAGTACATCAAAGCTCTTAATGAGTAGGTCAGTTACCTGTCGTTATTAAGGTAGTAAGTTGTGAAATGAGGGCTGGAATGGAGGTCTTCTGACTCAGTCCAGGAGTTTCACCTCAATATAAACCCCATTCCTGTCAAGTTGATTCCGACTCATAGCCGACCCTGTAGGTCAGAGTAGAACTGTCCTGGGGTTTCCAAGTTGGTAAATCTGTACGGAAGCAGATTGCCACCTCATTCTCTTGTGGAGTGGCTAGTAGGTTTGAACTGCTGGCCTTTTGGCTAGCAGTCAAGTGCTTAACCACTGCACTACTAGAGGTCCTTTTCTACCTCACTGTACTGATAAATATTCTATCTTCTTGAAATGAAAAATAATTGTACTTATCTCTTTGCATTTATATCCTTTCTCTCTCTCAGTACGGTCCTTCTCCTGCCCATCCAATCTATTCTGTTGCCCATATTATCCTGCATCTATCTCGTCACTGAAATGGTTACAGAATAGCAGTACACTCAGTGCTGTACAGAATAAGCTGCTATACAGTGCTGTACAAAACAAACAACCTGTTTAGCTCCCTGTCAGATTTGATGGAATAAATTAGCAGACAGATCAGATTAGTTTTTATTTTAATATAATGGTACAATTCTCTTGGATGTAATTTTCTTTTGGGATATTAAAAAAGACTCATAATTATTTTCTCTTTCTAATACGAAATATGGTGGCTTGGGGAGGATAACTTCAGGTGAGGATAGAGCTTCCTGATTTTATGAAGTATTATTAAGTTCTTATGAGCTCTGAGGAAAATTTTCTTCTATTTTTATTAAAGTAAGTGATGGAAAGGTTTTGAAGGAGTTGATGCAATGCAGTTGTGTCACTCCATTTTTGTGAAAACAATCTAGATCATATGCAGGATATCCAGGGAATATCATTATCCCCTTCTCCAAGTCATGTTTGGAATAGTTAAGTAACTTTAAAACATCTGTAAATATCAAGTAATGTCAAAAATCAGAGCATCTATTGAAGAAAAGTGCTGGATTATATATAGTATACTCACACCAGCTTCACTTTTGAAAACCATAAACATGAATTTTAAGTGTTGGGAAAAAATCCTTGCTCATTAGGTGCTCTGGTAGCGTAGTGCCTAAGGCATTTGACTGCTAACCAGAAGGCTGGTGGTTCAAACCCACCAGCCACTCCTTGGAAGGAAGGTTCCGCAATCTACTTCCGTCTTGATACTGCCTCAGAAACCCAAGGAGGGGTCACTATGAGTCAGATACGACTCTATGGCAGTGGGTTTGTTTTTTTTATTAGGACATTAAACTAAGTCTCCTTCCCAAGGGAATGGGGAATACAAATTCTCTTCAGATCTGACACATTTAAATTAGACATATAAAAGGACTTTGACTGAGAATCATTCCTTTATCCCTCCAGAGGGGACAGTGTGGGTAAGAGTGTCTCAAGGGAATCTAAATGAATTGCTCCACGATCTTTGTGAGAACCCAGAGTATAACTTTTCATAAAAACACCTCTTTTTTTTTTTTCCCAGTGTGTCAGGAAGCTGTCTGGGAAGCCTTTAGAACTTTTTGGGATCGCCTTCCTGGACGTGAGGAATATCACCACTGGATGAATTTGTGTGAGAATGGAATCACAAGTATATTTGAAATGGGTACAAATTTTAGTCAATCTATGGAACATCAAAGCTTAATCATGAAGGTAAGTATAATAACAAGGGGAGGAATTGATGGACTGTTGTAGAAACGCATGTCCACAGCAAAGGCCTGAAACAAGGAAGACTGTAGCAAATCCCAGATTTCTTTCTCATTGAATTATACTGTCCCAGTTAGAGGCTCTAGGCTGTGGCCTAGGCTTTGTATACTTAACTCTGGCCTTTATACTAAGCATTGTTAAGCCAGGTTAGAGCCTCAGCTTTTTTTTTTTTTTTAAACAAATGTAAATATCTGGAAGTAATACTCAGCAAATCTGTGAGAATCAAACATTTTTGCTTAAGCTTTATATATTATCAATGCAGAGTGGAGATCTGTGACTTTAATTAAGATAGAAAATATAGTTAATTGAATGAATGCTTAGAAAAGTATAAATATGATTCTCATTAATGAATTTGCTTTCTTGCTTTCCTTGTTTTGGACGTTAGTTTATTTGTAGCAAGGGATAACTAAGCATGAATCTAGGCAAATTACCTGCTCACTAACCCCTTTTCATAAAGCATGCATGTACATACTCACGACAAGAAAATGACACTGTTCACATCGATCATGCTCTCTGATATGCCCTGGGTTCCCTGCCCATATGTTCAACTCCTATACGTCTTCAGCTCAGAAGTAACTTCCTTTGTGAGGAACCAACTTCTGGCCTAGAAGAGTTAGCTTCACAATTCTTTGAGCTTCTATAATTCTTTATTCATTCTTTAATATATTTGTATATATGACTACTTCCTCTGTTGGACTTTGAACTGAAGGGCAAGGATTGTGTCGTTACTTGTTCATTTTTGCACTCCCATAATATTTGCTGAAAATGTTTGCTAAAATAAAAGCATATAAGTAGTAACCACAATGCCTTTTTCCTATTTGCTGCGATTTATAAACTTTACAAAAATTATTTAAATACTGGTTGTAAGTATTGTATACATTAGAGGGACTAGGAAAAGAGTTACTGACTGAATAACAGATATTTGTATTTGAGTGTTCCTAAATCAGCTTAGTACAACTTAAAGTAATAAAATATATTATTCTGTTCTTTCTATTTTATATCTAGTAGAGATATGCTATTGTTTTCTTTTAACTTTTGATTGTACAGAGAATGATCTCATTAAATGAGGGTCATTTGAGGAGAGAAGGGTAGTCTGATAAACATGGGTGGACCCAAGACAAATTTTCAGGCTTATAAAGTTGTGCAAGTTTTGAAGTTGTACAAGCAGGCTTTTGCATGTTTTCAAATGAAATCATTTTGTAATCATGATATCTCACATTTTAAGCCAAAACATTGCGTATTTTTTCCTCTGTCATTTATTTTTTAAACATCTCTGTATAATTGGCTACCATTTCTTCATTTTCTACCATATACTAAAAACTCTCACTGCTGTCAAGTCACATCCGACTCATAGCGACCCCTTGATGGGTTTCTGAGGAGATATCGCTACGGAAGTAGATTGCCCAGTCTTCCGAGGAGTGGCTGGTGGGTTTGAACTGCCAGCCTTCTGGTTAGGAGTCAAATGCCTTAGGCACTATGCCACCGGAGCTCCCATCACATACTAGACTGTATTAAGACCATTAAACAGATTATAATAAACCCAATTTTTCAGAAAAGAAAATTAAGCATCAGAGTTATTAAGTTCCTTATCCTGTGTCACACAACCAGATACATGTGATGGTTAAATCCAAACCCAGATTTCTTTTCCAAAATCCATGTTCTTTCCCCTATACCACTAGGTCTCCCTTATCAATTATTATCAGTTTTACAAATTGTGATGCTGTTCAATAATATGTATTCATGCATACATATGTACATTAATATTTATATTTATATTAGCAGTGTATCTCAAATGATAGACTATACATATATATTATGTGTTGTTGTTGTTGTCATGTGCCATCGAGTCAGCTCCGACTTATAGCAACCCCTCCTTGGGTTGCTGAGGCAGTATCACTATGGAAGTAGATTGCCCAACCTTCCTTCTGAGGAGTGGCTGGTGGGTTTGAACCGCCAGCCTTCTAGTTAGCAGTCAAATGTCTTAGGCCCTGTGCTACCGGAGCTCCTATATATTATGTAAGATAAACTAAAATATATATGATATAGAATTATTATGAAGTCCTTTCTTGTACAGTTAAAAGCTTGGCCACTAACTGAAAGGTTTGCAGTTTGAATCAATCAGAGGTGCCTCAGAAGAAAGGCCTGGTGATCTAATTTTGAAAGGTCACAGCCATTGAAAACCATACAGAGCAGTTCTACTCTTATACGTGTGGCATTGCCTTGAGTTGAAATTCACTCTGTGGCTACTGGTTTAGAGTTACTATTGCTATAGCAACAGATTTTGGGGATGTTACATTGGAAGATATCACATAAAGTGGAACTTTTAACAAGTTTTTATTTGAAAGCATAGGAATTATATTTCCCAGGCTATTTCAAAGAACATGCAGATCAAGAGGCTGAGGTATTGCCTGGATTTAATTTTAAGTAATAAATATGAGTTAGCTAAGTAGCAGGAATTGGGGAAGGGACATTGTAGGCAGAGGGAATAGATGAGCCAAGTGTTTATAGGGAATTACTTTAGGACAGTCTACTGGAAGGCTAGACTAGGAGTGATGGGAGATCTGACTGGAAAAGTGAGTAGATTATTTGACTCTATAGATGATAGGAAACCATTGAGGGGTTCTTAACAGGAGAGTTAGAGACTCAAATTTTACAAATTTGAGTTTTAGAAAGGTCATGAGTGATTTCCGTACACCATTGGATGGATTGGAAGAGGAAAAACTGGAGCAGGAGACTAGGTGGCATGCTGCTGCCATACTCCATGTCAGAGAAGATGAGGGTCCTAACTGTACCATGAAATAGAGAAAGGGAGTGTGGGAGATACAAGTAAGAAACAAGATTACCTGATTTTTAACACATGCCTTCTGCATTTATTTGCCAAATGTATTCTCCCTTCAGAGGTATTTTTGTAACTGTGCTATGATAATTTTTTTTTTTTTTTTAATAGCAACGTGTAGAAACAAAATTGGCATGTCTCAATTTAGGCAAATAACCGAGAGAGTGGGAAGGGAACAGTTGGCAAACAAAAGTAGAAGGTGCGTGTTATTTGCATAAAAATAAGCGTAGTAGAATTTTATGATGAATTGGATTGGGAGTGAGGAGGGGTGAAGTAGTGGCCTAGGATACCTCTCACTTTAACTGGGATTGACTAATAACTGGAGATTGACTAATAATACAGGCAGAGAAGCAGTTTTGGTATGTGTGTGTGGTGCTGTAGGAAGAATGAGTTCATTTTTTAATATGTTGATTAGAGCTTCCTGTGTGAAAAGTGAATTGCTGATATTTAGCTTTCAATCCAGGGAGAGTAATCTGAGTTGTAAATACAGCTTTCAGAATAATCATCCTTGAGGTAGCACTTGAAATCATAGGAATAGTTGAGATTACTCTAAGATGGTCTGTAGAGTAAGAAGAGCAGTAAATTATTAATAAATATCTGTAATGCAGAGCTGCCAAGACACTAGGACATGGAGTTATTTCAGAGAAGCAGTTTATTAGCAATCCCAGGCGAGGTTCTCATGCCCTAGCCACCAGGGCCAGAGAAGTCACACCCTCGGGCAGGGGGCATGGCTTTTTATAGACACAGAGAGGACCTATTTGGGGACACCAAGGAAATGATAGGGTCCTCTAAGGAAATGGCAGGGTCCAATTAGCTGTTAGCAGGGGTCTGCACTTAATTAGCATGAGGGGGCTTCACAGGAGGAAGTTTGTCATTGCATGGGACTTTCCAGCCTGGGTGGGTTCTATCACTTCGGTTGTCTTATCAGGCTGTCTCATCAGGGCCTGACACCTGGAGGAAGCTGCTAGCTGACATATTGGGGCTTGGGTTTGCTTCGGCCTAACATTCCAACCTCTTTTAATGGATAAAGGGTGACGTGATCCTTAGCTTCTTCCTGCTGAATGGGGTCGGAGAGGGGGAGAGGGGTTTCATAGGTTGGAGCCTGAGAAGCTGGGGTTGTCAGTTGGCAGCTTGGTGTAAGGGTGTAGGAGAAGTTGATTCATTGCAACCTGAGATATTTCTTCGAGTCAGCTTCAGAGAAACTTGAGGAGGCAAGGGGCAAAAAGAAAAAGGAGAGTTATTAGTACAAGCGGTCCGATAAGGGGTAATAGCCAGGCAGTCAGTGGCGATTAGAACCATCCAAACGGTGAAGTTTCTGCGTTGCGTCGGTTGTGTAGTTCCTCTTTTAGTCGAGTTAATGTGTTAATATTCTGTTCCACTAGTCCAGATTCATTAATATAATAACAACATTCTTCTCCCAGGAAGATACAAGTTACACCTTCCGCTGCAGTTAGGAGGTCTAGGGCTCTCCAGTTCTGCAAAGAGACTTGGGCTAAAGAGGTTAGTTGTTGCTGAAGGGAGGCTAAGGAGTCTGCAGTGGTTTCGAGTGCAATTTCAAGATGGTCTTGGAAGTCCTGAGCCGATATTATACTGTGGCTCAAGGCTCCGCCCGCCATTCCTGCTGCTGCAACGGCAGAGGCTAGGCTAATACCTCTCATGATGGGTATGAAGGCAGCCCTTTTGATTCTAGTCTCTTGTAATAGTCGGGAGACTACGGATTTTTCATATCGGGTGAGTTGGGGTATTATGGTTACTGTGAAGCAGGGACCTGGAGTGGTGGAATTTAAACATTTAGTTAAAGTTCCATTACACCAAAAGAAAATACCAGATGGTGCGGAGGTGATGGAAATATTCTGTGGTGCTTGGTTAAAGGTTTTAAGTGCCCAAAGGGGTACATGCGGTAGAGGGGTGGTGCATGAAGAGTTGAGGGTGGGAGCAGATAGTGGTAGAGTTAAGTTGATAGGTACGGCTGCAAGTAAAGGTCGCTTGAGTGAAGCACAAAGGAAGCAATGTGAAACATTGGGTAGAGTCTGAGTATAATTGAGGAGAGATAGGGAATGTTGGATGATGTGTATCCAGATAGGTGTTGGAGAGGTCTGGACCTGTGTCG